CATTTATCTGCTTTCATCACTAATCCCAAGCTAGACTTCTTCATGCCTGCTCATTGCAAAAGCTCATCAGCTATATTTTGCTGATTCTAGATTTTTTCCTTATAATCTCTCTGGCAGAGGTGACAACATAACCTTGCTTAGTTGCCACTTTGACCACATTATTCCTGCCGAAAATACCTTCAGTGACTTCCGTCTTCAGATCAAATTATTTTTCTTGTTTTAAAGGCTCTGTCATAAGTGAATATAATACAACCAACTTCTTCGTATTTGTTATTCTCTGGTCTACTTGGACTTAACTCTTTTATAAACCAAACGCGTGGTCCACTTCTACTGTATGTCTTTACTGAAATTGTAAACCACACATATATCATCATCTGAAATTAACTTCTACCACCCTGCCAATCACTTCCAAATATTTAAGGACTAAAGCAAAGCCCAGCATCTCTTATCCATTAACTTATTTACAATTATAACCTACAGTTTCCAGTTAATCATACACTATATTAAATTGTTTGTGTATTCCTGTGGTTTTATAGATTCATCTTTATCCAAGCTGAATTACTGTGAGTTCCTAGGGCTGAAGAATCATGGTACATTTCCTACATCATAAAATTCATTGTTAATCATATAGTAGATAAAAAATAATATTTAATAATTGATTGCCTTATAAATAAAACTAAGTAATTGCCTTCACCTAAGAGATGGCTTGATTCAACACTTTGAAATTTGAGTCATTTGATAATCAAAATCTGCTCTGACCTCTGATTTTCCCTTTTGCTTTAGGCAAGCCATTTTACTTACTTTGGATTCATTTTCTTAATCCAAAAATGGAAGTAGGGCTTGTCATCTGTCTTATTCATAGTCACAGGTGAGGAGTATCCTAGTCAATACAAGGCACATAGCTAATACAATGTTTAATAAAAATGATAAATAACATCTATTACAAAATTGAACCATTGTTCAATTTCTTCTGCCCTTTCAGTTCTTTGATTCAATATTCTTTCACTGAAATCTGAAAGCTTTAATTTGAAAAAGTGTTTTACTAATAATTGTAGACTTTCTACATTAGCTTTTTCTTATCATTAGGCACAACTGGATGATATCAAATTATTCTTTTAAGGAAATCAATATATCACTAAAACTGCATAGAAAAACATCTGGCAAAAACATTTCAGGTAAGAGAAATTTGGGTATGAGATAACTATATCACAGCATTCCCTGTTTTCCATGGAAACTTTCTTTAAATAATTTAAAATAATATTTTCTCTATTTTTTAATCCCTTAAGCAAAATTATTCTTCTTTTGCTACAGGAGCCACTTTTATTGTGAATTATGAAGAGCAGAAAAAAAATGAAAAAAAATCATTCTCTGGGTCTCTAAAGAATCAGAAAAAGCTTTAAATAATTTTATTATATTGAAGATTTTCATAGTAAACCATTAAAATCAAATAAATGCCTTGAGAGACAATAACTTTGTTAACAGCACATCATATTAATTAGATTTTGTTTAGTGTTTTCATGTGTGCAAAATATAAATTTTAGGCCGGGCATGGTGACTTGTGCCTGCAATCCCAGCACTGTGGGAGGCCGAGGCAGGTGGATCACTTGGGATCAGAAGTTCTAGACCAGCTTGACCAACATGGTGAAATCCCGTCTCTACTAAAAATACAAAAATTAGCCAGGCATGGTGGTGCACACGTGTAATCCCAGCTACTTAGAAAGCTGAAGCATGAGAATCCCTTGAACCTGGGAGGTAGAGGTTGCAGTGATCTGAGATTGTGACACTGAACTCCAGCCTGGCCAATAGAGTGAGACTGTGTCTCAATAAACAAATAAAGAAATACATTTTAGAAGTTAAAATTAGATTAAAAAATCAAAATACTAGAAGAGTATTTATTTTTTAAAAATCACACATATTAGAGGTAATAATCAGTGAGTGTTTAACAATGTAGATCAGATATAATCTAACTTGGAAGAGAGGAGGGAAACACGCTAAGGAGAAATGATGGTAAAATTCCTAGAAATAAGATTTCCCATATTTCTTAATTATATAATTCCTTCAATTATTTTCTCTTTCCAAATATGTGTCTTAAGCCCGTTGCAGTTTACAAAGGTAAAATATAAGAGTTTTTAAAAATAAATAAAACTTAAATCTTTTTTTTTTTTTTTTTACTATTTAAAAAAATTCTATGTACATGTGAGAAGGAAATATTTGAAATTTTGATAAAGTTCAGTTTATATTAAATGTATATTTCATTTGCCTATGCTATCTCCATTATATTGGTAAATACTGAAATCTAGACTATTGCCTAATAAGTACTCTATGCTTCTCCTCCTAGAGTGAACTCTGTACTTTGCCCCTATACTCTAGTTGTGCTGGTCTTTCATTTATTTCCTTAAACAAGCCTGAATTATTCTGGCTTAGGGCTATTGTCACATCATTCACTTTGCCTGTAACACTCCTCACCCTGCCTCCTATTATCTGGTTAATGCACTCATCCTTCAATAGCAACTCATACTACATCTTCAGGAAAGTCTTTGCCAACTTCCCAGGCCAGATCATATCCACCTGGCTGTACCATCTTACAGCACCTGAGACTAATCCTAATTTGTGACTACACATTTGACTGATTAAGAAAAAGCACCTCTCCCCGCAACTAGATGGTAGGTTCATGAGGCAGAGGCACTACTTAAACTGTTAGTCATTGCACTTACAATATTCGTTTGGCATACGGGAAGTGCTGAGTGAATTTTTGCTGAATTAATGAACGAAGAACTAAACTTTGACTGTAGATCATTGAGTAACAAATTATGAAAGGAACATGGCAATGTGAGAATTAAAAAGAGAACATTCAGAACATGAAATAAATTTTTATGGTGTCCTTAGATTTTAGGAAACAAAATATATGACCATAATGACATGTTCTATAGTTACAATGTTAATTACATAAAGTAAAATTAGTTTATCTTATTTTCAATAAAAATGAAAACTAGTGGAAAATAACTTTCCCATACTTCTCTTAGGGTTATCTTCATTTACACTTACTAAGTTATTTTATCATAGCTGGAGAGTTATTTCAATGTTTGTAGTGTTTAGCCTGCATTAACACCTCCAAAATCCTGTTTTATGCCTTTCAGAGATGAATAAATGTTAGAAGCTAAAATTCGTAAGGAATTGAATCCTAATTATATTTTTATTTCTGAATTCTTTCAAACATCACATGTTTTTTAGATCATAATTTTAGCCACTGCCCACTGATAACCAGGTGTTCTTAAGCCTAAGAACATTGAAAAAAAAAAAAAAAAAAACAGGCCGGACTTTCAAAGTCAGATCTCTAGGGAGTCTGCAAATGTAATTGTTAGGGCATGTGGAGACAAAAGCAACAGTACACTTACCCACCCAAAGCCTGCTTGTCCCGGCATGCATAATCATCTCAAATCCTTATAAATTAGACATTGCCTAAAAGTTTAAGAAAAAATGTTAAGATGTATTCCAATTACAAAAGTCTATCTGAACCTGAACCGGCATGTTTAAAAGCCTAATGACAATTTAAAAACAAATTACTAGACATTATATATTTTCATTCAATACATGCCATATTTATTGATTTTTAAATAAATATATCTACATATCTCATGGCTTGCATTTATTTTCAAAACTGTAAAAATTTAATAGGTGCCAGAATTGTTGGTTTCTTTTTTCATTGTTCTCCCAAAACATTTTACCCAGGGAAAGTGCTATTTAATCTCCCATGTCTATTTCCAAGTAAAATTTGATCATCAAAAATTTAGGGTTTTTTCTGTTCTACATATCAGAGCATTTTTTTTTCAAGATATATGAAAAAGATACTGTATCAAGAATGTAGGGACCTAAATGATTCATAATAGGCTGTTTGTCTGAGTAGTTCCCTCATCAAGACCTGCCTACCTGGGGTGGTAGAGAAAAAGAGAGACTGACTCAAATTTCCCAGTCAGCTTGCTTTTTTTCTGCTGTTAGGTTTTATAGAAAATCTATTTCCATAGAATCCAATGGATTGCTTAAATTTAGGAGTAACAAAACCTGTTTCTATGCGAATCATAAAAAAGCTTATCCTGCAACCTAATGAATGTCATTTATTCATGCATGCACTTACTGAATTTATACATTTAATAAACATTGAGCACCTACTACGTTTCAGTTGGCAAAAGACAAAAATCAGCAAATTCAGGCAGAAAAGTGAGTCCAGCAAATCAATTACAGCAGTATACAATGAGTTCTACAAAACAGATGGCCTCCAGATGATGAATGAGTTCAGGTGTCAGGTCTTAAAGCAACTTGGGGAAGGCTTCTGGAATAGATTACTTTTGAACTTAATTTTAAATGTTGGGTAGAAGTTGTCTGTGTGTGGAATAAGGAAATGGGAGTTGGGGAGGAAAATATAATTCCTATAAGAGTCTTCACTGTGTAAAGAGAAATAATGGCATCATATTTTGTTGCTGTTGAACTACTGTGAACACATTTAGTATGGCTGCCGAGAATGTGGAAAGCTGGAAAAAGAAAGGGGGACAGGTGATGGAAAGCCCTATGTGTTATATGGAGGAGTTTGAATTTTATCCATCCACAAAAAATAAATATATAAATGTGAAACCATTGAAAATCTTCACCTCATTTGAGTTTCAGGAGGAACATTCTGGGGAAACATGTGAGAGTGTAAAGAGACAAAAGACAAAATTCTTGTTAAAGGCATGAAATGAAAAGATTTTGTACTTGTACAGGTGGAAATAGAACAGGAGCTAGATATTTCAGACCAGAGGACAGACGGATGTAGACCATGAGAAAGAAGAGTGTTTCCAGGAGACTGGGTCTGCCAACACTTTCAGTTTTTAGTACAGGAAACTGGTGTGAAGTAGGATGCTCCAACAAATTCATGGAATCAGTGATAGATAAATTCGGTCACTAAAACTAAGGCCTTCAATTTAAATGAATATACACTACTTAAAAAGAAAGCAAAACATGATATTTATTATGTAAACTAACAAATGTTTATTTAAATTTCCATTTAAAATATTTTCAAGTAAAAATATGTACAAAAATGGTTATAAAAAGGTTGAAGCAACTAGAAGCATGACAGGTATAATACATATAAATACAACCAAAATTCAATTCAATGCAAAGTTGAATGACATCATATTGCACCAAAATTTATTCCATACAAAAGTACATGCATCAAGAGTTTCCGTAAGATGAAAACACACTTATTTCATAGTATCTTACCACTTACACAAATAGCCCATAAACACCATCTGGCATTGTGATTGCGGTACCAGAACTCTCCCCAGAGGGGAATCATTTAGCTATAGAAGAATCCATTTTATTCACATATCACATGCTTGCGCAGGCATCAGTGCCAAGGAACCGTAAGAAACAACGCAATCCACAGATGACAGTCTCTCTGCACTGTTTATATCTTCATAGATAAATATCTTAGTTCTACTAATATGATTGGAATGTAGATGCAGAAATAAAGTGCAGTTTCGCTCTTTAAGAATTTATCAATCAATGTAGGACATTGTATTAAATTTGTATAAAATACACACAATCCCCTTTACTAAGTTTCATGATCGCAATGCCAGAGTGAAGAAACTCCGCCTGAGTTGAGGACCAGTCAGGATATTGAGCATCACTCTTTCTCAGCTGGATCTCTCTGTTCTTCTGTTTTCAATCATTAGACCAAACCCACGATGCCCCTGAAATTCTGGGAATGGTACAAGGTCATAGCTAATGCATTCCAGATCCAAGTTAGGGATTTAGCTTGTCTATAAATTACAGTTTAAGCACAGATCAAAGAGATGGCTGCCAGCATAACCCTCAAGGGTAACCTGAGTTCCAAGACTTTCCCACTGGGCTAAATGGACTCCACTGTTGCTAATTATAAATGCTTGTCACAGAATATGAAAGATATTGAAATACATTCATAGATAGTACCTAATAATATGTTAATATAAACATAACAACACATGTATTATTATTCTACCCCTTGGCAACTGAAAATGAAGTCACCATTCCTAGGTCAAACTTTTAGACAAAGCTTTCTAAAACCATCTTCATAAAGTAAATCCAGATATGCTTACAATAAAAAGACATAAAAGATTCATCCTGAGATGAATTCTCAGTCAATAACTAAAAACCATTTCTACCAGTGCATCACTACCATGTAATCCATTCTACGCAAGCTCTACAAATATTGAGTCAAATCCTGTCAGAAAATTAAGACCCAATAAGTTTGCCCAAGTATTCAGTACAAGAGGCCATTTGTCTTGCCTTTTTCTGACATGTGCATACTATAAAATCACAGGTAGCCAACATTTAGTATCAGTAAAAAACAACTACGTTTGTTCACCTGTTTGGCATAGGGAGAAAACAATGTATCTCATAGCATTAAATGATACAGTCTTAACACATATGATGCTTATATTTGCAAAGTTCCCAAATGTTGAGAAGTTCTAGTGAAAACTCACTACTATTGTGCAAAGATGAAAATTTGGAGCCAATGTCTGTATTCAAAATAACCAGAATATATTTTAAAGCAAAATATATCCTGATACTACTGTAGATTCTAGGAACTGTCCTAAAAGAGTAAAGTGTTATTTCCTTTCTGAACATGAATAACATCAAAGGAAGAACCCAGTTCTCAAGACTTAAGTAGGAAATTTATAGAAATTTGGTTTATACCAGTAGTAATAACATTCATGAGGAAAAACTATTAGGTAACAATTTTCTCCAAGAAGAGGATCAGATTACTTAAAATTGTTGGAGAATTCTGGTGGTTTGTGCAATAATCATAGTGATTTACATTGCTTTTCTTCTTTTCAGAGCAATAAGAAAGTTCTTTGGGGTAGTACTTGAAATAATTCACATGCACAGTCATTTAACATAGATCGTTTCAAGTGTAAGCATACATTCATGGGAACAATCTGTTTCCTTCTTCAAAGTATGTTTCTACTTTGGAATGAAGGAGAAATTCTAGGGAAAAATTAATTCAGAAATCCTTTGAAATAAGACAGTTCAAACCTAGGACCAGGGAACCGCATTGCATTGCCTCCCAGTGTGATATGACTGTGCTTCTAACTATGCATCTAATAAAGTTCATTAGAAGGAACATTTGATGTCTAAATTTTATAATACACACTTCAGTCAGACCACTCACAACCCAACAAATTATACAGCTTTAACATGCAAAGGCCTAATACGTTTTCCCACAAGATGCTGTATGAAATACCCTGTCACACAAGGTACTCAAAATACAGTCACCATTGCAAAAGAGATACCTGTGCATTACTCTTTTTTTCCCCTCTGGCTTTCAGCATGGCTTTTTAAGGCTTCAACAAGAGGTAATAAGGACTTAGCAAGCAGTTCTCCTAACCAATACACTAATTCACTTGAAAGTCATACTTTTAAAAAAAATCAGTAGTGTATATGTTGAGGAAAAAAAAGTATGTTCACTTTGGAACAAGTGTGGCCCTCTGTATGGCTCTCAGATGCCTAATGCTCTACAGTTTTGTGACAGAATTGTTAGCTGTAAAGCTGTAAAGGTGGTTATTGGTACTATAAATGTACGCTTGATTCAAGTACGCTGAAACACACACATGTAACAGATAGCTATTAGGAGACTGTAACCATCCTCTGTGTGTTTTAAGGCCAATAGTAACAGAGAGGAGGGAGAAAAATAACTACCAAGAAAATAAAACTAATTGGTAGATTCACCCTAAGAAAATCTAGGTAATTATATAAATTCATTGTTATGAGGTTGTAGAAAGGACAATTATCTCATAACATATGGAAAATTGGTGAATTTCCTGTGAGACCATGATTTATGCTTTTGTGAATGTATACCTGATCTAAAATTAGACAAAACATTTATTTTTAGACACCAACTAATTTGAAAATACAAGGAAAGAAATAATTACATCCCAAAATTGACTATTAAAAATCATTTTTAAGTACAGTACTAATAAACTAAGGACTACCTAGAGATCATACTTTTAGCTATTATTTAAATTTTTTTTTTTTTTTTTTTTTTTTTTGAGATGAAGTCTCACTCTTGTCCCCCAGGCAGGAGTGCAATGATGCAACCTCAACTCACTGCAACCTCCGCCCCCTGGGCTCAAGTGATTCTCCTACCTCAGCCTCCCAAGTAGCCGGGATTACAGGCGCCTGCCACCATGCCTGGCTAATTTTTGTATTATTTTTAGTAGAGATAGGGTTTCACCATGTTGGCCAGGCTGATCTCGAACTCCTGACCTCAGGTGATTAACCCACCTTGGCCTCCCAAAGTGCTGGGATTACAGGCATGAGACACTGTGCCGGGCTTATTTAAAAATGTTTTTAAAGTACAGTACTAATAAACTAAGGACTACCTAAAGATCACACTTTTAGGTATTATCTATTTTAACATAGATTAAAAATACTGTTTATGGGAAAATTAAGCTTAAATACATGTATAGGTAATCATTATTTTGCCTATATACAAGTAATGTAAACAGAAACTATCAAGGTGACCCATTATCTACTCTAATTTATATACACTATGAACTTCTTTCCAGTTATACAATGCCATATTTTAATTCCTGACTTTGAATGGTTAGGAAAGCAAAATATAACTCTGTAAACTTGATCAGCACTAATGTACAACATGTTATGGAGGGTAAAGTGAAGCAAGAATATATTCAAGTAAAATTAAATGTCTTTCATGGGCATTCAAATCCCACATCTCTCTGTATTTCTTTCCAAACTAAGAAAAAGAGCTATAATTAAAATCCCATTTATTATTTTTCCATAGTTCAGAATCAACATATAAAATATGATGAAAGTGAGACTATCTCCCTATATATCACATCATATATATTATGAGAAAGTCACTTGTTATATATGGACATTCAATTAACTCATAACTTACATTTTAAAAAATATATTCTCCATACTTATTTCTAATAGAAAAAAAATAATAGGAATTATTTTACTTTACTCACATGGACAATGCAGATTTTGGGGGGGTAGAAGTATATACAACTTTGCTGGTCTTCTTCAACAAAATTAATACAGAATTTCTAATGCAAAGTTAGGTTCAGGACCTCGAACGGAACATGTCTAAGTGAGAGGCACTGAAGCTTAGGTTTCATTAACTTCTTGGGAGATCCACCTATGCACAGCAAACAACTAATTTTTAATATTTCTCTGACTATATTGCATAACATTAAAATATTGTTACCTTCAGTCACATACTATCTTTCATTTCCTGATTCTCTGGCCTTCAGTTTTTTATCTTTTCATAACTTATACCTCAATTACAAAAGGTCAACTTTAACAAAGGTCAGAGTTGCTCCCTTTCTTAGCAGTATATTCAGCTGCAGATCGAGATAAAATAATGATTTTCCTGTAGACTGATCACAGTTGATGAGGAATTCTGTTATGTAATTATACTCTTGTTAACCCTCTATCGATAAGTCAGATTGTAACTGGGGAAACAATTTTACCAGACACATAAGATGAACAGGAAATCTGCTTCAACGTGAATATCTTAGTGTTGGAGAAACCACCATGCATTGATAATGTGACCTATTAAACTGTACAAATTTTGTGTCCACAGGGCTGAGGAGCTACAGTCTAAATGCATATGCATATTTTGAACTGAAGTCAGCCATCTTCCCTAGGACAAATCTTTACTCTTCTAAAGAAGGACAAGAATAGGGTCTACTTTCAGCTAACCATCTATAATGGTTCAGTTTTCATTTGATTAAAGGAATATAATCTAATACTTTTTGAACGGGGTCAAAATAGTACTATGAGGAAAATATTTACTGCAAATATTTATAATTGTGTAAGGAGAATCATTCTTTTTAAAATCAAATTGTGTTTTAGCTTTAGAAGTCTTTACTGGATCTTTTAAAATCACAATTAAGTATTTGAGAATCCATCCCCACAAAAATTAAAAAATACTATATTAGTTATTTTAAACAGTATTCATTACTTTTACTTTTTATGTTATAATAAACATATATATAAACATTTGAATATGCATGCTACAAAGTACAAGTACAGCGCATGTAGTAGTATGTGCATATGTGTGTGTGCATATTGTATAAAAATATGAGAAAAAATTTACTTATATAAAAACATACATATATATAAATAAGTGTGCAAGAGAGTTTTTGAATGAGAATCTGCTTTACATACTACCATTTTGAATGAAAATTATTAATATTAATTTCCTGATTAAAGGAACTCTGTGTCTTCTCATGATGAGTCCTAAAAATAAGCCAAAATACTACTTATTTTCCATCACTTTTTTTCTTAATTACTGGCTGACTTTTTTTCTGCTTGAAATGGCATTACAATGGCAGGGAAATTTCATAATGTAAAAATCACTTTTGAAAATGAGAAAGAATAATTCTAGTTACCTTTTAAATCAATACTTTTAAAGAGAAATTCAAATCAAAAATAAATAAATTAAATTCTGAGACCAATTTGCCGCTGTGAATATAAGCACATTAACCCCAGGAATAGCCAAGAACTGCACAAACCTCTCTATGAGAATTTACCAGTCTTCTTTCATTTGGCAAGAAAAAGCTCAGGAAAAGTTTGCTTGTTTAAATTCTATGAGCCTAGTCTATGGGGGAAAAAAATAGGAATATAAAAGAAATTCTTACCTCCGGCAACACATGATAGGGAGAGATCTGGACAAATGAACAATATTTACTAGAAATAGGAATTATAGATCAAAGTTTGCAAACCCTATGCTAAGGAAGGAAGGAGTTATTATAAATTCACTTAGAGACCCAAACGTTAGGTTCGGCTAAAGAAATGTCAGTCTTCGATATATATTAAATATTTTCAAGAGCAAAATTGAAATTACTGAATTGGAAATGCTCCAAATTATAGGTCATCATTTATACTTTGGACAATTTTCTATGAACTCTATGTTTGCCTTTAATAATTTTAATTGGTATAATTCTTTCAAAAATCCTTATTTTCAAATGGACAAAAATTAAAGGATGAAACATACTCTGGCCATGACTAACCATTCTACCTTACATGTTTATAAATAACAGTTCAAAATTTCATCATTATATTGCTCTCATTTGTAAGTTCCACCATACACACACACACACACACACACACACACATATACTTTTTGGAGATGGAGTCTCTCACCCAGGCTGGAGTGCAGTGGTACAATCTCGGCTCCCTGCAACCTCTGCCTCCTGGGTTCAAACAATTCTCCTGCCTCAGCCTCCTGAATAGCTGAGATTACCAGCATGCGCCACCATGCCCAGCTAATTTTGCATTTTTAGTAGAGACAAGGTTTCTCCATGTTGGTCAGGCTGGTCTAGAACTTCTGACCTCAGGTGATCCGCCTGCCTCAGCCTCCCAAAGTGCTGGGATTACAGGTGTAAGCCACCATGCCTGGCCCACAATATTTTCTAATACTGGCATAACAACATCTTCTGAACACAAACACTCATCCACAGATTCTGATTCTTTCAATTTTCTTCTTATCAGTTAGCTCTTTTGCAAGTTGAATGATAATTAAGGTGTGGAAATTACTGACAAAGACTAGATATAGAAGTAGAAATTTTCTAGAAACATCAGTTGTAAATCTTATTTAGCGGTGACATTTCTTTCTCAATTTTTATGTTAATATATGCCTTTTCCTAATTAATCTGGACAGTTTCATCTGAAGAGATATTTTAACAGAATATAAAATGTATAAAGAAAATGCACAAACTGTCAAAATTCATCATGATGTAAAAATAGCCATAAATTTAAAAAACTGTTCAGAATTACTAACATTGCATGTAGATATCATTACAGATGTGGGACTATTATTTTGAACATTTTCTTTGTTGGTGATTTCTCTCATGTTGACAATGTAATTTGAAGGTTTAAAAATGCATATGTTTAGATATACTCATCAGGGGTAAGTTATTAGTGAAATAGGTGGTTGTTCTTAAGAGGATTTAATACCAAACTTAACTCTTGCTCTAAGATGTGTTATACACTTTCCTGATCAAACTGATGTGAAAAAAATGACAGATAACTAAAACTTCCTGATAATGAATGACAAAACATCTGACATAATAAATTCTCAAGGATTTTTTACTCAAACATAATTCCTGGATGTGTCTCATAAACAGTAGCCCCTAGAAACTCTTCTTTAATGTATTCAATAATCCCCTCTGACCTTTGTTCAAAATGCTCTGGGTATAATCCATTAAAGCATGAGTGTTATCTAAATTGGTATCTAAGGGGAAGCAATGCAATGTCAATGTAAAATAAATTTCTTTCTCTCCTCTTGGTCATAATCATGATGTATGCTTTTTTTCAGAATTGAAAACACTTTTCACAGTATAGTCATCTGTAGTGTGTAAAACCATGTTTACAGAACCCATATATACAGAAAAATCTCGGTCTTCAATTTGAAGGTTCTTTGCCATGCTAATATATGTTGTAAAGAATGACCACATAGTAATTGTCTAGTCTTTTCTCCTAACCCCAATAGGTAGGTATCAGAGACTCAAGAATTGTGACTCATAGAACAACTGCATATTCTCTTTCTATAACTACATAGAGTTATAACTAAATTTCTTAGGAATTAGTTTGAATATGCTAAAATATATGAATAGAAATAACTGACTCCTTTTGTTTATCACCGAAGTTGTAATTCTCTGGATTTTCAGAAAATGAAGTAAAAATCCCTATTATGTGTCTCCCCTTGGGCAGATTGCCAAGATCTCAAGTCCATTAGTTCATAACTTATCTTCTTCTGGTACAACTTCCAGTATTATTTGTAATGTTCTGGTTATTCTCTCTACAAAGAAAGAAAAATAAATTAAAAATGCATGGAAATCAGAAATGCATAAAAACAACAAAATAGGAATTATTTTGGGTTGAATACCAAAAACACACAACTGTCTACTTCATAGAGCACTTTCAAGAATTTTTTACTTCATTAGAATCCTATCATGCTCAATTAATTTATTTGTCACTTCTGTAACTTCCCATGATGGCTTCTCAGCAAGAATACATTAATATTTTGCATTCTAATAAGGATTTTTATTCATGGACCCAAAGGGTGAAAATCTTTTGGGACAGTAGGACCAACATATAAATAAATGTTTAAAAATACACTTCATATTCAGCTTAAAATTGGTTTATTCTTTTTGCACCTATGAGATTACAGTCAGTTCCTCAGAAGAATCAGGAGAATCAGAATATAATTTTCATTCTCTAACTTGTAACATATTATTGAGAATATTGTCTTATCTCCTAGGGCCTAATATGCCTAATCAGTAGAATGAGAGACTAAATCAGTGATTCTCAAAGTGTGATCCCTGTACCAACAAAATTAGCATCACCTACCATATTAGAAACGCATCTTTGCAAGCTCAATCCTAGACCTACTAAATTAGAAACTGAATATGGGGCCTAGTAGTCTGTAATTCTGATAGACACAAAAATATAGGAACTGAGGACATCTCAAGAGAGTCTGACTCCAGTATTCAGAAGGAGGCCTACCTTTTTTCCTTCAGAATCATTGAGCTAGATAATTTCCAAGGTCATTTTATCTCAGCAGTTCTAGAACTCTATGACCTTGGTTTCTGGGGACATTAATTATTGTTTGCCTCTTTTTTTTTTTTTTTTTTTTTTTGAGATGGAGTTTCACTCTTGTTGCCCAGGTTAGAGTGCAATGGTGTGATCTCAGCTCACTGAAACCTCCACCTCCTGGATTCAAGTGATTCTCCTGCCTCAGCCTCCCAAGTAGCTGGGATTACAGGCATATGCCACCACACCAGGCTAATTTTGTATTTTTAGTAGAGACGGGGTTTCACTATGTTGATCTGGCTGGTCTTGAACTCCTGACCTCAAGTGATTTACCTGCCTCGACCTCCCAAAGTGCTGGGATTACAGGTGTGAATCACTGTGCCCAGCCAGTTTGCCTCTTATCTTTGTAATGAATTCCTACAGAATCTTTTCAATGTCCTGCTAGTCCTGGAGCCGTTTAGAGCCTGACCTCTTGATGGTTTCATACCCAGATAGTCTTTCATCTGGACGTAGAATATTTCTCCTCATTCATGGCTTGTTATCTGTAATAGCTCCTTTCAAGCCATATTTAATGACATTTAAAAAGGTATTTTTTTCAGGCAAGGCACAGTGGCTCATGCCTGTAATCCCAGCACTTTGGGAGGCCGAGGCGGGTGAATCACCTGAGGTTGGGAGTTCGAGACCAACCCCAGTAACATGGAGAAACCCCGTCTCTACTAAAAATACAAAATTAACTGGGTGTGATGGTGCATGCCTGTAATCCCAGCTACTTAGGAGGGTGAGGCAGGAGAATCATTTGAACCCAGGAGGCAGCGGTTACGGTGAGCCGAGTTTGCGCCATTACTCTCCAGCCTGGGCAACAAGAAAGAAACTCCATCTCAAAAAATAAAAAGGTATTGTTTTCATCCTTTTCTTTCTGTGTTTGTCAAAGATGTTGTCCTTAGCGCATTAGTTTTACAGTCTACATTAATTGTAAAGGGCCCAGCACAGTCTCGGTAAATTATAAACTCCATGTGAATGTTTCCTAAATAAACTGTATTTTACACAGCCCACTCTTTACATTGAGATGTAAGTGCAGCATAAGGGAGCACTCAAGAGCAATTAAAGCCCATATTTTCAGAAAAGGGAAATGACAAAATTATTCTATAAAAATAGGCATTTTTGGGAAAAGGAAATATTAATAAATTGTAAAGAAAATGTAGCTTAAACAGAGAAGGGGCTAGGGATATGTGACAGTAGTTTAAAACAAACGAACAGAAAAACAAGAGATCTCAGGCATCTGCAACGGCCAAATGAAAAGCAGTGATGTTAAAGAGACATCATCTCCAGCCCTGCCTCCCTAAAGAGATCCTGCCCATAGCCTCCTGAACTAATCTCCATGACTGCCCTCCACACCCAACACGAAAGCCTTTTCCAAAAGTGTCTCTCTATATTCAGGGATCCCCAGATGTCTGCTATCTTAGACATCTTGCTTCCGCATGTCATAACACTGCCTCCATTCAGACAAATGAGGAGCGACTTAGATCCTGCTGCTTCCCTAATGTGTTATTCTCCTTCCTAAAAGCTTGGTTTGGGTCCATTATTCAGTAGCACAGGGTCATAGAATCTCTATTCCGGTTTTGCACACTTTCTGCTATCTTTCCTCTTCCTTTGTGTTCAATCAGCCCCGTTGACAATATCCAATGTATCTTGCTTATGTGATCTCTCTTGGAATCTCAGGATTTGAATGACTTTCATCGTAATGAAGGCTTCTACAGAGTAATTGATTTTAACCATGAGTACCTGTTGGAGTGACACCAACTTTTCCTCCTTCTAGATTTATCTTACAGCAGTGGACCAGACAGCGGTGCTCAAGAGAGTCAAGTATGTCTTTAAGGAAGCTTCCTGCATGCCTGGGAAAGCTGCAGAGCATGTGGCATTCAAGTGCCATGTCTACATCCATGTTCAAAAACAGTCTTTCGGCTTTAAGGATAATCAACCCGTGGTACTCTTTCTTTAAATAAAGGTGTGTTAATGAGTCTGGATTTGTTGTTTTCAGTAACTGTAAGGTACAGGACCAAATAACAGTTGTAGTATTTTTAGCTTTACCTTTCATGTTCAGTGTTATTCTTGAAATAATTTGAAACAACAACTGGCCCTGCAAAATTTGATTTACCCAACCATACCTGGTACCAGCATGGGAACTACAGCAAAAATTGCCTACATTTTTGATGTAGCACAAGTCTATTTTTTTTTCTGGATGTGTTCATAAGAATAATAGTATTTTTTTAAGGCTACAAATATTTTCACAAGCATGATCTCATTTTATCCTTACAATGAAGATAGTTTGGACCCCTAAGAAATGCAGGCAAGCTTAATTAATTTGCATATCACACCACAGTATTTGTGAACAGTCTGTTAAATGCATTATTCAGCTTTCAGTGACTTAACATAAATGAAGTTATCTTGACTGACTGTATGCAGCATATGCTTTTAGGACTCTCGAGTTGCAAACTCACTGTCCACAAAGATGCATTACAGTCATTCTGCTGGTGTTTCCCAATCTGATTTTTTATAATTAAAGATTTTGTTTAAATAAGACTGTCCTCTATCTCTCTCCCTGAGCCAGAGGGACCCACTTCCAGTCACCCTACTCAACCCCGTGACAAGGTGTGGCTGATAAATAGAGACAGCCAAGTAAAACGGCTGCTGTGAGCCCTGGCCCAGGTTTGCTAGGTCTTGCTATCTTTGTGTATTTGCATATGTCATTGGGGTATCTGCCCCTTTTTCCTCGCGTGAGAAGCTTGTGTTTCTGTAAGTAAATAAATAATATAACTAACCCACCAGAAGAATAAACCACTCTGTCACAGATGGCAGAAAAAAGCTTTCTGTGTATCTCACCATTCCCTTAAGAGCATGTTTTCTTTTCTCCCTAGAAATGCTATCAAACAAAAAGTGGTTCAATACTGGCATCCTGTGGCTGGAGAGATTTATCAAATCTCTGAAAATCTCAGCTCCTCGGATTCTGAACATTTCCCGGCTGTCAGTTCTCAGCAGCCTTTCACCATTTTCTGAGTGCTATTTGGTTACCTCTCATTTTTCATGGAAACAACCTAGGTAAAATGTATTTTGATAGACTATCATTTTCACAGAGCTAATCTATTCATGCATTATCAGGGTAAAAATAAATGATAATATAAAGGTAATGGAATTTTACGAAATGAAAGGACATGATATTAAATCATTGAAAAAACTGCTCCAAGCACAGGCTCTTGGTCTCTAAGTTCACACTGAGTTTCTCTCTAACAAAAAGATCATAGAGTAGTTGGGAGAAGGGTCAGGGCACTGCCTCAGGATTCTGTTGTTTGTGTGTCTGTGTGTGAGTGTTTTGTTTTGGCCAAAGGCTAAGAAAATACTTCCTATTGCAGCAATAAATATTATGAATTTTCTTTATTTTACTACAAGAATGCTGCCTCAGAGAAAAATCAAACAAAATTACGGAGGACTGTTGCTTTTTGCTACTCACTTTCAAGGCAGCTATAAAGATAAAGAGTTACAATGATCGCAGTTTAAAAGCAGAATTGCCATGCTCCCCGGTAAGACTTAATGGCATTTTTGAGAACCAAATAACCATTATGGGACTACTCCATTGCTGCTAGTTTCACGAATGGCTAACACTAAATTTGGAGGCCTTGGAAATGTTCAAAACATCATTAGAGACAGAAAAATAGGAAAAAACTTTAAAATTACATGAACACCAAAAGACATCAATGAGGGATCAAGCATGAAAACTGCTTGTTGGGATGAACTGACAAAGAAATAATACAAAGTACACACATGGTTGTTAGCAAGAGGAAAGGACTGTTAGATTTGGCTGACTCCAAACAGGAGGAACAAAATGCCTGCTAAAGTGGGATGGAACAATGGCTTTCCTCTTTAATCATACTCCCTCTCGTTCTAGTCTAACTCTAGGACCACCAGCTCTTTCTTCCTCAATTCTGTTAATTTTCTGTGCTGCTCAGGGGTTTTAACTGTCTCAGTTAGTATGGGAGACAGACATAGATCTTACAGCAATGAGTGCTAATCTGCCCTAAATGTTAGCAATGAATAAAGCAATCCTAATGGAAATGGTATTTAGTAAGATCCCTTTTCCCTCCGAATAGGCTCTATCTTTAGTGTTTAGAACAAAGAGAACTTAAAAACATTCCACAGAAAACTAGTGTGATCTGAGAAGAAATAGAGATTAAATACTCAGTTAAGGCAATCAGTGCGCCTGTGTCAGCCATAAAGCACCTCATTTGTATAGTAACATTTCTTTGGGGAAACAAAATCCACATATAAATAGTAGTATAAGATCTAAAGATGCAAAATTCCAATTGAATGCTAATAAAAGGTATTAACAAAACTGCTTTAAAGGACTGACTTCTCAATGAGTCTGCACAGCACACTAGAGATTCAATATGCATATCAAGGTTTTTGGTTGTTTGTTTTCTAGTAACACTGCCATTATTTATTAATAATTTAACCAGAAATCTCCCTAACCTTTTAACTGGAATTTAAAAAATTAATTATGGTAAAGTAAGTAAATTAAAACAAAGAGAAAGTATGAAAGCTATGTTCTAAACTCACCAAATTCAGCAGCGAGCATAGATCTGCCCTTCTGGCTATATTTGTGGCCTATCTGCCCCCCTCCCTTCCACAAGGGATCCAGTCTAGAAAGAGCATGAACTTAGAAGTCCAGCAGATGTGGGTTCAATTCCTAGTTCTATGGTTTAAAATATGTACACTCAAAAATAAATTATCCATTTTTCTGAGCCCTGGTTTTCTCATCTGGACTTGGGAATAACAACACCTAACCTTGTTGAGGATTGCTTGAGATGATCATGTAGGGGAAAGGACTCAGGAGTGCCTCTGACAGAGAGACAAGCTTGCAACACAGGCTATTCATAAGCACCCTTCTTACCTAATGATCTACTATGATTTCTCCTCCTCCAATTTAACTGGTCACCAAGTCTTGCTGGTTTTTCCTTTTAGTATATTTCACTTTCTCTCAGACCCTGCTGATACTGCCTGTCTTCAGAATCCCCCTCAATTCTCAACAGGATTGCTGCAGTAACCACCAAAGTCGATATTCTGTCTTCAGCCCCAACCTATCTTAATCCATCCTCACAACCCCCAGGGTGACTCTCCTAAAATATAAAACTGCCTGAGTTTGACTTTCAGCTACTCTACTTTATATCTGTATGACTTGGAACAAGGGACCTGAATTCTCTCATGCTATAATTCAAAGCCTATTAAATGGGGATAATAATTTTTCTTACCTCAGTAGGATATTATAAGAATTAAAGTCTTGTTCCCCTCCCTGTGTCCATGTGTTCTCATTGTTCAACTCCCACTTATGAGTGAGAACATGTGGTGTTTGGTTTTCTGTTCCTGTGTTAGTTTGCTGAGAATAATGGCTTCCAGCTTCATCTATGTCCCTGCAAAGGATATTAACTCATTCTTTTTTATGGCTGAATAGTATTCTACAGTATACATGTGCCACATTTTCCTTATCCAGTCTATCATTGATGGGCATTTGGGTTGGTTCCAAGTTTTTGCTATTGTAAATAGTGCTGTAATAAACATATGTGTACATGTGCCTTTATAGTAGAATAATTTATAATCCTTTAGGTATATACCCAGTAATGGGATTACTGGGTCAAATGATATTTCTGGTTCTAGATCCTTGAAGAATTGCCACACTGTTTTCCACAATGGTTGAACTAATTTACACTCCCACCATAGCACATGTATACCTATGTAACAAACCTGCACATTCTGCACATTTATTCCATAACTTAAAGTAAAATTAAAAAAAAAATTAAATGAAGTCATACACGTGCACGCACATGTGGAAGCTGCTGTTGTTCTCTTCATTGTTCTTGTTATTATAATCCTTCATGAGGCACCCTTCCTTTTAAGGTACTGCACAGTCATAATGTTTAAGGCATTTGCAGGCCACTGCCTAACTCCCCAACAAATCTCATGTCACTCATCAAGTTACATGTTATGATATAGAATCACCAAACTGCATTCAACCCAGAAGGAAAATAATTAGGTTAGTAAGGGATTCAAAGAGAGATTAGGTCATTTAGAGAACTACTGATAAAATTTCATCTAAAACAAAGCTGTTTCTCCTAAGAAGTGATTAAGGCAGCCCAAACTAATATCCTGAAACGATTCAATGGCTGTAACCTAAATGTCCTTCCTGCCAAAAAGTAGTTCCAATTAAAATGCCATAATGTTCTCAAATCATCAATTATGCCATTTACATTTTTAAATGTTAAGTATATTATGTATGTACATCTTTATGGGTTTTCTACATGGTGTTGCACAATGTCCTGAAAGTATTTAAAATTCTTACCTGATATTATTCTAAACCACTTGGGTTTCTTGTCCCATATAATAAAGAGATAATATGCAGGCACTCCAGTCAGAGTGATGATAAAGCCAATCCCTGTACTAAATGGGTCCGAATAGAGGGAAAGGGCAACCATGAAGAGGCATGTGAAGGAAAACAAAGCTGGGATGAACAGTGGAACCTGGAACACAGAACACAAAAAAAGTCACTTCAAACATGTTCAAGCAACAGAAGTTGGGTTTGAGATGAGCATGTCAGTCATGACATATACTTCAGTGATATGCTGTAGTCATGCGACCAGGTGATAGGCACCAACGTGCCTTACCTTAGTAGCAAAGTCTCTTTCATGGTGCACAGATAATGTATTAAATGTACTCCCAGCCGGGTGCAGTGGCTCACGCCTGTAATCCCAGCACTTTGGGAGGCCGAGGCGGGTGGATCACGAGGTCAGGAGATCAAGACTATCCTGGCTAACACGGTAAAACCCTGTCTCTACTAAAAATAATTAAAAAAAAAAAATTAGCCGGGCGTGGTGGCAGGGGCCTGTAGTCCCAGCTACTTGGGAGGCTGAGGCAGGAGAATGGCGTGAACCTGGGAGGTGGAGCTTGCAGTGAGTGGAGATCGCGCCACTGCACTCCAGCCTGGGTGACAGAGCCAGACTCCGTCTTAGCAAAAAAAAAAAAAAAAAAACACATTAAATGTACTCCCTTAAATGTCTTAAATGTAATTCAACTTAGTTTAAATTGTTTTTAATTCTTTGGATAGAACAAAATCTAAGGACAAAAAAGGATATTTTATTAGAGATGTTCTGTTGGAATTATTTTACTAGTTAAATGCCATGATGATTATGGTTTTGATTTTAAAAGACTGGCTCTTTGATAATTATGATTAGAACCCACTTTAATGTGGAGTCAAGAGCACCAGCTGCTTGTTACATGTTAAAGTCTTCCAGTGCATATTGATTTTCTGTTGAGATTCACAATAAGAACTGACAGGAATAAAACAAGCCAACTCCTATTCAACCGCTAATAAAGATGCCGCCAGCATTAGGCAATGAATATTATTAGAAACAAATCCTGACAACATGACTGACAACATTATCTATGCCATTTCTTAAAAACAAATAAATGATGAGGTCAAATCAATCTGTGAGTCAAGTTTGAAGAAGATGGCAAGCTTCTTCTCCAGTCCTCCAAAACGGAAATGCTTACTTATGGGAAATAGGTATTAAGTGGTAACTTCATAGATCTTCTCTTTCCCTGTATACTTTACATTTCTATTCCTTTTAGAGTGTATAATATAGAGAAAGAGCAATGTAACAAATCACAACATTTAAGTACTTAAAATGCCTATTTTGTAAGGGCAAATTCCTTTTTGGAATTGGCATTAACGAAGTATCTCCCTTACTCCTTCTCACCACGGCTGTCCACAACTCCAGCATAAAGACAGACAGAAGTAGCCCATACTTTGAGTGTATCAGGTCATTGAACACATTCATGAAAAATCAACATACCAAACATTCATTCATACCGTCATTTTTCAAAAATGTGACACACAAAGTTCAGCACGTCACATAAAAAATTGGATGAACTATTTTTTTCCAACTTAAAATAAATCCAACAGGAAAGCACTGCCTGCAAGAGTTAAACATTTTTATTCCACAGATGCTGCCCCCAGCCCAACCTCCCCATCAGTAAGTTATGACAAAGGGAGGACTAGGTATTAGGAGAAAGATTTATGTAAACCCATCAAGATTGCTGAGGTTACCTTGAAAGGACGATGCATATCTGGGCATTTGTATCGAAGATAAATCAGCCCAGCAACTGCCAGCCCAATAAAAAGCCACCTGGCAAAACTGAGGAAATTCAAAAGACTGTCGAGGTCTCCAGAGAAGAGCATTATCATTGTCAAAGGGTGCTGAGGGGTGAAAGGGAAGCAAGCTTGGTGAATTCAGTGAAAGCACAGATGATTAACAACAAAAACCTCACTAGGCATTATGACCGTTTTCAAATAATTATTTATACCAATAAATTATCATCATAGTTAAAACCTGGATTTGACTAATCTTTTTCCTATAATCTACTGTCATAATCCATTTACACACCAGTAACAGTATGAGAGTGATATGGCCATTATATTTTATTCAAGTGGAATTCTGTATGAATGTTGTGTTTTGTTTTTAGTTCCTTTTGCATTTGAGAGAAGATAATATGTTTTCAAAGAGTAAAAGAAAGGGTACTCAATGACTCAAAATTGAAAGACTCAAAGATTGAGATGATTAGTAAATAATCAATAATAAACAGTAAAAAAGACCCAACTGGAAGATTTACAGAAAGCTCTGCAAATGCTCTGATGAGCTCTTGGCTATCCACACACAGGAAATACAGACACTCATGGGTGATTCTGTTGGCTCTTGATTGCAAAACATTGAACTTTTTTCCTCCACATTTACTCTCCTGGTGTGCTTGTTGTGTGTGACCCTCAAGACCACGGAGAAGAATGAAGCACAGAGATCAGCTTAGCAAGTCTCTGCAGCTGCACATGCCAAGGACAGCACGACTGATAGCAGAGGCTTAAAATGAAAGCCCTCTTCACGGAATAATACATTCTGTTCCCACAAGTGACGTTAAAGTCCAGATTCTGCACAGAGGGTACGCATACTTTTAAAAGAAATTTCAAGGAAATGTTCTGAAACAAATTAAATGCATGCAAAAAAAAATGTTCAGTGCATTCTATGGTGCTCCTGACAACAGATTCCAGTTGAGAGAAATGTTACAAAATCACCAGTAAAAATGAATATAACATTGCCAATGGGTATTTGAGGACTTTTACACCTTATAAGTCTTTTGTAGCTCACATTTCACAACACTTTGCTCTGCATAAAGAATTTTACAACTCAAATTTACCTCATGGTGCTTTTATTTTATCCTGTAGGATAAAAGACATTATTTGCTCTCAAATGTCTCAAATGAACAATGGCACTGTCTAGGATTTTATCAATTCTTTCAATAATTTTGTGTGCATTTCATGATAAGGTGCCTAGATGGTACATCTGGGTACTTTTTGGGCTGTAGTTTTTTGCTCTACTTTCCTTAAGTAGTTGGGACTTAATACTCTACATTCTTTTCTGTGAGGTGCTATGTCGATGAGAGGAACCAAGCTAATCGTTTTCCTTAGACCGTACACATTTTTGCAAAGACGAAAGAGAGGTGATGTGATTTTTGCCCCAAAGCATCAAATGGGCATCAGAAACATGGAGTAAAGGGAAGAGATGGAAGATATCCTGCCTCCCAAACTCCACCATGACATACATTAGCAATGAATGAGAAAGTAAAGTACTATCTAATGTCTGGTTGGAATTCCTTTTTGCTAATCTATTATTCAAGGTTATATCTAGATACACTTGTTAATATGCATTACCAAAACAATAACAGCTGGCAGAGGAGTGTGCTTGCGGACATGAATCATGGAGAGGATTTCTGGAAGGTGACCCTCTCGAGACGCAACATAGAATAACCTGATGGGAGAGAAATGTGGGTGGAGTTGACTGTATGATTGATCATTTCAAAGGGAAAATCCAGAAATCCCAGAGAAAACTTGCATCTTTTTCATACCAAATGGTCAAGCATTTCTCAGGTGATTGCCTAAGTTCACTTTTCAAATAAGGTGAAGAAACATCATAGGAAATCTAAATCTGAATTTTACAAAATCTGCCAACATTATATTATTCTTTGAAGAGAAATAATAGCAATATCTGATTCGGCATAGCGCTCTCTACATATGAATAGCTGATGGGAGATCTAGTTCTAAATTCCTGGTATTTATATGTGTGTTGTCCATCCAATTCAACAAACACACGCACATGCACATCCACAGGTACACACACATGTATGTAGCATTCACATTTATCTGATCGGGTTTTAATCGTATATTAAAAGAAAAAGACTTTTGCATCAAACTAAACAAAGGAAATACAGATGGTAGGGGTGGTGATTTCTGATGTCTCTTACTTTACTTTTTTTCTTGGCATCTTCAGAGAAACAGAAAATTATATCACCAGAAATAAAATGCCGTTGTTAGACTCTGTGGAAATACTATTTTAAAAAAAAGCCACATGTCAGGCTTCCAAATAAGCTATTAATAGGCAAGCAGTGCCCTCTAATGGACAGAATAAAACATGCTGTTGATACTTGGACCATTTCAATCTTGCATGTCCCTTTAAAAACAACAGGTTTGGAGGCACTATTTCTTTTCTTTTTAAAGTTATCCTTATCACATCCAATCTCAAAAACAGAAATGTGTTTCTGGAAATACATGAACTCACTCACCTGGAGACAGCAAACACACCACCATTCATGGAGCCAAAGCAGGAGAGGGCAACAAAGATCGGAACTGCTAATGAGAAATTTCCCAGTAGCCGCTCAGAAAAGGTCTAGTGAAAGAAAGAACGAAGCAAATTAATGCCTTGCCAGAAAGTGGAATAAAATGAAACAATTTAGGCCAAACTTGCTCTATGACTTTCTACTAGCCTGGTGATACTTGTATGTTTTATAATTTCTCTCTTTGGTTAGGGTCAGACTAACTCCATAGACAATAATCAAAAGCAAGGACCATGGTATTGCTTGTTGCAAAACTGTAGTCAAAGGTCTAAACAGGCACCTTCTCTCTACTTTCAAAAAGCAATGATCCATTTATTGAATCTTTATCAACTATGATGTGAATTGTCTCTGACTCTGACAAGTGATAAAAGCTCAAATCAGAATTCTACTTCTGGAGATAGAAATCTTTCTGTATAATACCTTCTCTTTAGCCTGGAAAACCATATTTTATATTGAAATACACTGAGAAGTATTACAAATGTGTGTTTCATATGCCAATCCCATTGTTAGGAGGTAAATAAAATAACTGATGACTTAATAATTTATAGCATATACATGAGTAGCTCTGAAAATCTTTTTCCCAGAAAATCACACTAGCTAAACCTCTGTTTATAAGGTCACTCCGCCCCCCTCATGTATTTGTCAATTTCTTTTGTGGTTTCCTATAAAAAGGCTAGAACACAAATAAAAGTCCAACAAGCCACAGAAACTTAAACACAACTTCTAAAACATTATTTTATGCCATGATATGTGCAATATTGCAAATTTCCATGAAGGATATATTTTCCAAAAAAGAAAATGTGTTGGATTCATTAGTTGTCCTTGATGCAGCTGGTGCTATATAATTAGTGGGGCACATTATGCTCAAAGAGTAAGTGCTGCCCTTTGTCTCGAAAGATGAGATGACTGACCTGACTTCAATAAGCTTTGTATATTTGATTGTCTGGTGGGACCTAGAGCAGTGGTCAAAGTCTTTTTCAATACAGTGAACTCAAACAGGTTCAAATGAAATGAGATAATTTATTCCCTGTAGATGTTGCTGATATGAGGTTATACTAACTATTTTAAAAGGAACTGACATCAGGTAATGGAAACTTAATTTTTCACCATTCATTGTTATGAAGTCAAGAGTGAATGGTCTCTTACTAGCTGTGTTATGCAAAATAAAAGTATGAGTCACCAAGTCTTTTTTTTTTTTGAGATGGAATCTCTCTCTGTCACCCAGGCTGGAGTGCAGTGGTGTGATCTCTGCTCACTGCAAGCTCTGCCTCCCGGGTTCATGACATTCTCCTGTCTCAGCCTCCCAAGTAGCTGGGACTACAGGCTCCTGCCACGACACCTGGCTAATTTTTTTTTTTTTTTTTTTTTTTTTTTTGTATTTTTAGTGGAGACGGGATTTCACCACGTTAGCCAGGATGGTCTTGATCTCCTGACCTCGTGATCTGCCCGCCTCAGCCTCCCAAAGTGCTGGGATTACAGGTGTGAGCCATTGCGCCTGGCCAGAATAACAGTCTTATAACATGATCGTTGAGGACAAAGATGGTCCTGGTGTCAAATAAATTTTGGAAAATGCTATAAAATTATGTGTATCCACTTCTTAGGGAGTTAAAATTCATGGTGGTATCTTTAATATTCTGAGAAGTATTATAACAACAATATCTCTTTAACTTTGAATAACCCAGTATTTCCTAAATTTATTAATATCCCAGGACTAGTATTCAAAAGGATATACTAGGAAAACCAAATTTACATGGTCCACATCAAAATTCTTAAGTGACACTTGGGGAAAGGATTTTGAGTTCGCATTTGAAAAGTTTATAAATGGGAAAATGTACAGAACAAATTGTAATTTGCATACAAAAAATGCATTTATTTAGATTCAATAACTGTCCACCTATCTTTAAAGACATGCTGGGAGAATAAGCCTTGACAGATTTTCAAGCATGTTATGTGTGAAATTGTTTTATAAGAAATTAGAAATAATGGGAAATCATATAGGAATTTAGATGTATCAGTTAAATGGAACACGCTAAGGTATGCTCTAAATTTTTTTAAATATTCATTATTATTCAGGTCAAGAAAAGATTACAGAATTTCAAAACACTTTCTGCTAGAGGGAACTACTATAAAATTGCATCAACTCATTAACCTAAATTCCAATTGGCATTTTCCCAACTTGGACTTACCACTGCTACTGCATTTGAAAGCAACAGCTCCTCAGCATTAATGGTCGTAAAGTAGGCCACATTTGTCAGCACATAGCCAATGGTGACAATGGCCATGGATATACATATTGCAAGGGGAATGGTTCTGAAATGCACAAAGGAATCACTTATTCATTATCTTTTGTTAGTCATTCTCTGATACCGAAGAAAATAACAAGCTAATTCAAATGAAGAATATAATGGTATCTACAATAATTATAGGCTCTGTTGGGTATGTATACACATTTCATCAGGGCAAAGAACCACATATTCCTTTGTAACTTAATAAGGTCCATGGGGGCAGATACTTCGTCTGTCTTGTCTATTGCTATACCCCAGAACATATCGATTTATGTCATTCATGTACTCCGTAAATGCTACAGCAGTGTTTCTCACACTTGAGATGCATCAGAATCACGTGCAGGGCTTGTTAAAACACAGACTGCTGAGCTCCACCCCACAGTTTCTAATTCAGTAGGATTTGCATTTCCTCATATGTTCCTAGGTGATTCTGAGGCTGCTGATCAGACTGCACTTTGAGAACCACTGTCCTATAAACATTTCTAATACTAATTCACTGCCTTGACACCTTTCTAACACTAGTCCTTAAAAATGTTTTTCACGTTCAATATTTTTTCCATCAGTAGCTTTCCTTACCAACAAATAAACGCGCACTTTTGGAAGTATGATAGCGGGATATATCTACCTTTCTAAATGTGGCCATAATTTTGTATAAAACACAAGAAAGCACAGAAGTATTCACAATAATGATTTTGTACTGCCCTGCTGTGAGTTCAAAGGAAGCTCAAGATCGTGAGTATCTAATAATGCAACAGCACAGATAATCCCATGAAATTAGAGGTGACATGCTGTGAAGTACAGACGACCGGACAGTGCTGACACTATGTGGCATCAAGAAGTACCCGACACAAATGAATATTATATGTCTTCATTTAATGCACTGGGAAAGCCAGTAAGTTACTGACCCTAATAATATGATTCCATGTTACCAATACACATTACTTGCTTAACATAATCGCCTCTTCAGACTCTCTCCAGTTCAGGCAGCTTAAACCTTCAACTGCCTGCACAAAGGCTGATCATTTTTCAGCCATAGTGCTTATCAGCCCTCATGGAGCCTTCACCCTGCTGGGTGCCACTAATGAAGACCTCAATATAATTTCTTCAAAGATGAAAATGTAGTTCAGAATCGGGGGGGAAAGGCACAGCCTGTCTCACTACCCAAGCTGGGTGTGTTTACCACACTAAGTCCCAGCACATTATACTGAACAGCGATATCCCCTGTTGAAAACATGCAAGCCTAGCCAGTCAGCAACTGTCATTCATTATGCTGCTTGGAGCCTGATACTTCCCCCGATTCCCAAAGCCTTCAGCCTTGATGGGGAAACACATTGACCTCTAAATGCTGACATCCTAATATGAAAGTAGCAGATGGTCCCCTTCCCCAGTGTGAAGAGGGTCCTGTGGAATTTTCTGTTAACACTATAACATGCACTGCTAGTTGTGATTGATAAATGCTAAATTTAAGTAAAGAATATCACTGAGCCAATCAAATATAAAAGGATGAATGGCATAAAGCAAATTAAAGATGAATCCTGTTTCTTCGTAAGAAGGGCTATTGTAAATGCAAAAGGGTAAGAAGGAGAACATGAAGGTGTATACACAGCTTTTCAATCACTCAGTGTATTATTTTGACCTTGAATCCTTTCAGCTTTTATAACATCCCCATATGGGGAGTAAATGCTTTCTGTGGAGGAGAGGGGAAGAGAGGAAAAGAAGAAGAGAAAAAGACTCCCTGTTCCTTGCAAGCATATGATTAAGGTATATAAAGGTTCCATTAATAAAAAATGAAGTGACATTATTAATTGCAGTGAAGTAACCTGTCCAAAACAGAGAGTACTGTCACATCACATGACGCTGCAAAATAGCAGAAAGAAATAAGTCTGAAATTTGGGATTGTGACTCTCCCAGCATAGAATTTATCTTCCCAGTCCAGCTCCTCCAAGTCAGCCGCCTGCCTGTTTCCTGCCTAGACATTACAGCCTCTCTGAGGACCGTTTCCTAAATTGATCTAAGCAGAAGGGATCCCAGAAAATCTAACCTTCTAGGTTGGTTTCCCTTCATTCTGTTTGTTAATAACAAAAACAACAGGAGCAGCTGCTACCATTGGGCTGCTATGTGCCCAACATTTCATTAGGCACTTTACATGTGTGTCTACTTTTGTCCTTAGAAAATTCTGTGAGTTAGGAACATCAGCACATTTTATATGAGAAAATAAAGTCTTCAAGAGCTTAAATAACTATTTAAGGATACAAAATTGGTAAGGGGAAGCCCCAGAATTCAGGTGCATACACATTCTATGTTGAAATTCGGCCATTTGGACCACCAAAGTGTGTTCACTTTCAAGCATGTGGGTCCCTCAACTCTACTACTTTTAAGGAAAATCATAGTTGTTTAAAATAAAGTTTATTAGAGCTTTTATCAAGCTAGTATTTCTCATGTATTCCTTGACACTACAGTTTTATCTATCATAAAGAAGGGGACAAACTTATTTCATGAGTTTTATCACTTTTCTGTGTAACATGAACTGTAATGTCAAGTGAATGCTTTCAAATAGTTTCACTGCTTAGGAAAGACAATTTTAAAATTATATATTATTTAAAAGAAAACAGAAGTTTACAATAAATTTCCCTAAAAAACTTTTTTTATAGAAAAAGAGGGAAGGTAAGCATGCCTCAGATAAGCAGAAACAGACTAACAATTTTACTATCAGCCAAATATACTATCCAGATATTAGTGAGAAAAATAACAGCTTAAAATATAAACAGAAGAGAAAGAGTCGAATCTTGCTGCAATGCACAGCATATCCAGTAAATTCTCTATAATTATTCTTTTAAAAAAAAAAAATCTTTTTTTTTTTTAAGACAGAGTCTCACTCTGTCGCCCAGACTTGAGTGCAGGGGCACAATCTCAGCTCACTGCAACCGCTGCCTCCCGAGTTCAAGCAACTCTCCTGCCTCAGCCTCCCAGTAGCTGGGATTACAGGCACCCATCATTATACCCAGCTAATTTTTTTATCTTTATTAGAGACAGGGTTTCACCATGTTGGCCAGGCTAGTCTCAAACTCCTGACATCAAGTGATCCTCCTATCTTGGCCTCCCAAAGTGCTGGGATTACAGGCATGAGCCACCACTACCAGCTGATAATTAGATGCAATTAAGCAATGGCAAGTTGAATGGGGTATGGCAAAATAGCCACTAACTTCCATTCTTAGGTTCCATTTCACTTTGACAGAGGGAAGTGGGTGGGGAAGCTCTCTTGGCTGTCTTGGCATAAGCAGCCATTATTGACAGTGAAGAGCAGTTGACTCCTTCAGAAGGGCTTGGCCCTACACAGTTAACTCTAAGTTTCAAGTATCAAAGTGTAAGAGCCACTGGGTGAGCAGATAAAAGCTATTAGGCCATGCCACAGCAATTTCCTGGAGGCTTTAGATGCAGAAAGCAGATAGCATTGCTAGTAACCCAAGATTAAGGCAAATGGCACTTGATAATGAAGGGAATTAGAGGAAGGAACCGGTAGGCCATGGATATTTCAAATCCTCTATGTTCTTGTGAGGTATCCACCAATCCTAATTGCAATAAAAGTATTATTTTTAAGCTGAGTAAAAATGACTCACTCTTAACAAAATTAAGTTCTATTCTTTCTCAAATGTTAGTACATGTTTGTTATGACTAACAAAATACCATTTACAAGACTTACTTAATCCTAAGAGCTTTTTGTCATAAATGCTCTTTTCAATTAACAGGCATTAAGTATGTGAGAGTCTGCTATTTTTATTAGTTGCAAATGGTCTTCAATCAAAAAGGTCTTGGATAGCCTTCTTTCCTACAGGCTTATTTTAAATTGGCACTTAAAACTAGTCTATGTCACACATATTTGCTTTATTTGAAATTGTTAAATGGAAGTCTCCAAAACATGTGCTTAGAAGCACTTTTGTTCTGAGTGATAGGCTTCCCCAGAAATGAAAATGGCCCTATACTGACGGCAGGCAACTTATGTTTGTATAATCTACAAAGCACTGCCAAATACATCTTATTTTACCTTTAAATATATGCATGTCATTTTAAATCATTTGTGGAATGAGAAGCAGCATGAGCAAACAAAATTTACAACAACCAATGGAAATAGGAAGTAATATCCGCAATTTTTTTTTTTTTTTTAAGACGGAGTCTCGCTCTGTCGCCCGGGCTTGGAGTGCAGTGGCCGGATCTCAGCTCACTGCAAGCTCCGCCTCCCGGGTTTACGCCATTCTCCTGCCTCAGCCTCCCGAGTAGCTGGGATTACAGGCGCCCGCCACCTCGCCCGGCTAGTTTTTTGTATTTTTTAGTAGAGACGGGGTTTCACCGTGTTAGCCAGGATGGTCTCGATCTCCTGACCTCGTGATCCGCCCGTCTCGGCCTCCCAAAGTGCTGGGATTACAGGCTTGAGCCACCGCGCCCGGCCATATCTGCAATTTTTAAACAAGAAAACCAACGCTCAGCAAGGTTGAGCGACATAACCAAGGTCACAAAAGTAGTAAGTGGGAGGTCTGGAACCAGGACCCACATCTTCTGGCCCTGAGTTCCACACACATGGCCTATCTTGTCACAATGTCATGGCTGCTTTGTGCCTGCTTTAACTCTAGGTACAATGCCCCCAGGACCTTTACATGCTGACAAACATGTACTATTTTTATATAATGAGGCAAATATTAGAAGACCAATTGTCATGGTGTGACACATTTTAAGCCAAGTATATTTTTCTTCACACCTAATAGTACTAATAGTAGAAAAAACATTCACACTACAAATAAACTTGTAAATAATGCACAATAAGGTGCGTTTTTTAAAGTATGCTTTGCAACTCTATCATGAAGCATCAGAAATGACTATTGTTTCCAGTGCATCATTTTCACTAAAAGTAACCCTTGCTATGAAAATGAAATGAGTAAACCTAGTCTGATTCTCCTGAGAAGTCAAGGAGACCTGAAGGTTAGAAGGATTTCTGACATACAGCCCACATGAGTAGTCTGAATTACATGAGTG